AACAGTTTCATGTGTAGTAACTAAGTTCTTATTAGGACACATATGAAATACACATGCTGAATCAAGAATCAAATACTCCTCTGGTTTAAACTTGACGTCAGAAATAGCCAAGAGATCTCAATCAATGTTCTCTGCGAGGTTTTCTTCGCCTAAAGTATCTAATTGTTTCCCATATCGACTTGCAGCCAACCTTTTTTTTATTCTACAATTTGTAGTAATCCTTTTTCATGTGCCTCTTCTTCTTGCAGTAGTTATAAATCTGATTACTGAACTTAGATTTCGATATGTCCCTTCCAGAACCACCATGAGCAACCAGGCCTTCTCCATATCTGGCCTTGGAAACCAGATGCTTCATCTTCTCTTTTGAATACAAAGCATCATACACATCATGTATGGTGAGAATATCACAACTATACGAGATCATGTCTCTAAATGAAGAAAACGAAGCGGCAACGAACACAATATGATTAAGTTCAAATCTTCTTCTTTATACTCTACTTTCAAAGTTTTCAAATCAGGGACGATCTCTTTAAATACAGTCAGGTGATCTTTCAATGCTCTTCTTTCTACCATTCGATGAGAGTATAAACGCTGCTTGAGGTTCAACTTGTTTGTCAGACTTTTAATCATACACAAGTTCTAACTTCAACCGTAGAACAGCTGCTGAAACCTCCTTCAAAACGTCCCAAAGAATAATATGTGATAGATGAAGATGAATGTGAGAAACTACCTTCTTATCCTTCCTCAATTTTTCTTCCACGGTCAAAATTGTGGGAATCCTATCAATTTTGAGTAACGCATCATCTAAACCCAGTTGTGCGAGTATTGCCCACATCTTAACCCGCCATAGCGAAAATCTAGTGCTATGATCTAGAAGCGAAATGTCATACTTCATGAAAGCCATCACGAACAAAAACCTCGAACAAATCAAACCCTTTCGCTCTTGCAGAACGACTGAATCTAGGCTCTGATGCCACTTGTTATGAAACAACCAAAATATAACTTGTTAGAAGAAATAGTAATATATTCAGATCCCTGTTAGTAATATTGAAAATACAAGAATTATGTATAGTTTTAATAGCACTTGATGAAACCAACCACTGGAATGAATTGTTGAAGTTATGTGACAAATAATGAAATATTAGATCAAGAGAAACTACCTTCTTATCCTTCCACAAATTTTCTTCCGCGGTCAAAATTGTGGGAATCCTATCAATTTTGAGTAACGCATCATCCAAACCCAATTGTGCGAGTATTGCCCACATCTTAACCCGCCATAGCGAAAATCTAGTGCTATGATCTAGAAGCGAAATGTCATACTTCGTGGAAGCCATCACGAACAAAAACCTCGAACAAATCAAACCCTTTCGCTCTTGTAGAACGACTGAATCTAGGCTCTGATGCCACTTGTTATGAAACAACCAAAATATATCTTGTTAGAAGAAATATTAATATGTTCGGATCGCTGTTAGTAATATTGAAAATACAAGAATTATGTATAGTTTTAATACCACTTGATGAAACCAACCACTGGAATGAATTGTTGAAGTTATGTGACAAATAATGAAATATTAGATCAAGTAAAATATTAATAAAGACAATAAATATGACAGAAGAATTAAGAGATTTTATTGTCTCAATAATAATGGAGAAAATAAAAAATTACAATGGATCCTATAATTCTAGTAATATATTTTCTCACACTTATAGAATCGTATAGAAGAACCTAATATTTATAGGGAATATGTAGGGGACATCCAAATCCTCTTAGTAGAGTTGCTGATGAAGTAGGATGCCAAAAATTGAGTCCAAAACGAAAAAGAGAAAACGCGGAAAACCCGAACATGCAAGCACCACCTTCCAAACTGAATTCTCCTTGACGTGCACTTCAATTAGAATTTTTCAATACTTCAAACAAGGAATTCGGGTGATACCCAAATTCTATCAACATTAATCAAAAATGGAAATTTGTACTCACCAAATTATTGAGAGTAGCTTCGATTCCATCAGCCACAAAATTCGAAACCCCTTTAACAAAATTTTCTTGTTCAAAAGATTCAAGTATTCAACACCCTCCTCAATTGTAGTGGTATCAGCAATCCTTATCGATCCAACCCTGAAATTTTGACTCCGGCCAGTACAAACCCATTTCTTGGAATTGAATTCCAATTTCGTTGTGAAAATCGTAATGGGCTTGTGAAATGCTCTCGATTGGGACGTAAAAACGACGGCAGTGGGTCTGATAGAAGTAGCAAAGGTGAGCAACATTTTTGTCGGTGTTGTTTATTAGTTTGTAATTCAGTGGCAGAAATCTGTACATGCTGACATCTCTACAAATCAGAAAGAAAACACACACTGTTTGGTGAAGGGATAGGTTACAAAATAATAGCAAATTTATAATGCGGGACGGCTGAGCGGCCTGAGAGAGAAAGATCCAAGAATGGCATTATTCTTTTGCTTTGGCATCTCCAATCCATGATACGCAGAATCTATTTTCTGTTTCAATACTTAACACAAGTTGTGCTACTGCGTCCGTGTCTTACCTATTGGGATATGAGGTCATTTCCAACCATTAGCATTGAAATAGTTGCGAGGTAAATCTCGTGTTCTCTTGATGTCAATGGTGTTCCGGCTGCTCCGATCAGTGTTTGCTACCTGCAAAATGAGGTCAGGGCTTTCTCCTCCGTTGTACCTCCGGCGTGAGAATTAGTGTTCGATTTTAGAGAATATGAAGAGATTATAATGGAATTCAAATAGTTCAGGTTTCAAGAAGCCATACATTTTCTCACATTGGAGTATTTATAGGCACCTGATGGCTCGCCTCTGTTCCATGATTAATTGTGACACGTGTTCCACGTATGCTTTCCCACTCCCCACGTTCTAGAGTTGTGACCCCCACTTGTCTAGCGGTTGGTTATGCCCCTATTTGTTGTTATGCCCCTATTGCCATTTATTTGGCTAAGTCTAGTATTGGTTGCGTGGTGGTAGGCGGCTCTGTGTGAACATAGGAGCCCTCATAGTAGACGACATATGTGAACGTAGAGGGTCTCATGGTGGTCGACGACCTCATAGTAGTAGACGGCCTATGTTGTGGTGCTACAGGGGGTGCATATTAAGTAGTCGACCACCGTGGAAAATTATTAACACCATCTTATATCAAGTATTAAATTGATGTAATTTTTAGGTATAATTTAGTACCATTTTATAAAGTCATCTTCAACAATTACATTGGATATTACACCAAATGAACATTTTTTCCTTTATTTCCTTATTTTGAATTCTCAACAATTAAAATAAATACAAGTATATGATGAAAAACTCTAAAAATCACGTCATTCATTTGTACCAAATTGATATAGAATTTAGTATATTACCGAAGTGGATTTTTGATATTTTTACAGTAATTTGGGCATGGTTAGAGATACCCTGGAAATGTGAAAATGTGAGAAAGTTGCTGGACTTTAGACACCAGAAAATTTTGGATTTTCTTATATTTTTTTTCTCAAAAATAGGTCTCTATCTTTGGCCCTTAACTAGCGATGTGGTAGATTTTGATTGCGGTTTTGGGTGGTAGGATTTAGTGGCGGCAGCGGCAGCGGCAGGTGAGGGACGTTTTTAGTTTGGTGGAGTGGATTGAGGAAGACGACATTGATTTTTACATTTTCTTTATTTTTCTCGTCTTTTGTTATTATTCATTGTTTTTCTATTTTATTTTTCATTTTGCTTTTTTGAGTTTATTATTATAGTTAGAGGGTAAAACCATTTTTTTCGTGACGTCAAAAACATATTTGGACGATATGAACGAAATTTGTCGATATGAACGATATGCGCGAATTAATAAAAGATTTGGATCATGAGGAAATAAAAATTGATTGTGACAAAATTGATACAAGATGAAAATGTTGGAGACGTAATGTAATTTATCCTTATAAAATAAGGCTAAATTGCACAAGTTATCCTCAATGTTTACTTACTGTTAGAGTATGGTGACCCCAATTTTATTGACTCGACCCAAAAAATTCATGGTACGGAATATTTGGTGAAACTAAAATTATAAAGGAAAATGGGAATCTATGGTGGTAACGGAGGAATCGAGCAGAGAGGCTAGATTCGTAGCCCACCACTGATCCCCATTGTATAGACCTGCATTATTATATATATGATATATATTAGGATTTCATAATATCATATCATTCGGAGTAGCCGCACCTTTTATAATCATTTTTTATATAATGAATTTTCCCTCATTTGTTCGTGATTTTTTCTGGCTTTGAGTTTCTACGTAAATTTTGTGTTCTTATTATTTTTCTATTATCTATTCTCACTTTTCCGTAACACTTATCTTATGGAAATCGGGGTCATCACCTTTATCGAAGGTTAAATTGCTCGAGTCAAAGAAACTTTGATAGACTAAAGCGATCTTCGTCATGGATCCATACGTATTCTCTCTCTCCCCCCTCCCTTTGCATTGTACTTAGATTTGCTTATATGATTCACTTTCAATGATCAGATTTTTCTCAATTTTTCGGCGAATATACCTCACAATCTACAATTGTATCGTATTCATAGATTGTTCTCAAGTTTTTTACCTTTCTATAAAGACGGTAAAGGAATCTGAGAACAAACACGTCTACACAGTCGTCGAGAAGCCGTTGCTCTGAGTACAGTCCATTGTCGTATTGGATATGTTACACAGCCTATTTGGATTAATGAGATCTACGGTCAGCAGTGGTGGGTGAGGTGAGATGTGGGAAGAAGGTTTGTGACTGTGACTCGTTAATTGCGTAATTTGTTACTGAGAAATGATTTGTTATCTATTAGTTGTGCAATTTGTGACTCAATATATACACCTGTTTGGGCCATGTACATGTGTGTAAATAAAGGTTAAAGATTTTTCGAGTATAGAATATCAAGCTTGCCAATCGACCTTCATTTTGAGCATTAGCAAACATTCACTTGATTCTCAGTACACACTAATATGAGAATAGATCATAGTATCATTATTCCCGCAGAATCGAGTCCACGAAAACAAAAACAATAAATCCGATGATATATCCAATAGAACCCAGAACTATCAGAATTCTAACCCACAAGTAGGATACAAATGCCTTCAATACAAAAGCATTCCACGACCAGTACCAAAAAATGGAGAAAGTTGATCCTAAAACAGCTCCCACAAGGACTTGGCTAATTGTATGGAATTGTTGTGAAACCCGTAGCCATGACTGCAAGCAGAAACACTCAAAAATAAGCAATCATTATGAAGAATATAACACTTTCAAGAAGATAATCTGTCTCTTATCCTCGATGGTCCAGCAAATAAGATAACGCTTATAATCAATAAGTCGGCTACACGCCAACCAAAGGACGACACCTCCTAGTTATGGAAATCATAATATTAATAAAATTGCTTATTATGATTTTCATTCCAAGTGTCTCTTATCTTAAGTCCGGATCACTTTAGAAAGCCTTTCTTAGTGAATTTCAATCTGGCAAAGTAGGATTCAGGCAGCCGATAGCAAACTTAATAGGGATAAGGCTTAATTTTTTGTCCGTGGTTGAAATGAATTTCAACTGTGATTGTTGGTTATTAGACTAAATAGACCAGGAAGCATTACAAATCACTAAGGAATATAACACTGCAAGCATGTTTAGAATCCCTGAAATCAATTTAACTGCTGTGTACTTACAAAATAAGATCCAATTACAAAGACAAGCCCGCACAGGGTTGCTGTAAGTGCATTAATCCCGTAACATTCAACCACTGCAATGGAACACAAGAACTAGAAGGTATGATGAGCAGAAACAATTTACCTTAAACAGAACAATAAATAAACCTATCCATTATTCCTAATATTTAATCTGCTATATGAAATTGTTGTCCCCATTTTATGTGATCAAGTGTTACTTCTATTGAAGGTCCAATACTCTTACATCTTATTAATGAGCAATAGTAAAAGTTAAACAGAAGCTATTAACTAAAGCCAAATGTACCGTAAGCTGATCAAATGTAAACCAATTAGTCTTCCACGACAAGAAGAGGAACAATATTCAGAAGTATAATGAGCAATAATAGTAGCATGAATTTAGAAAGGGATGAGAAGATTAGGGGTATATATAACAAACTACACACATAAATAAACAGAAAAATTATATATCAACAAAATATAAGAAAGTCAAAGGTATTGTAAGATAACAAATGCGAAAAACTGTTAAATACACATGCACACAAGGTTAAAGAACTTTCATAATCAGAACAAGCAAAAAAAAATTCCTGAGATTTCTTGTTAACTATCACACTGAAAATGATGTAGTTAACGAATTATTGCCAAACTATCAGTATGTTTTGCTAAGCTTAAAGTTTTCTTTTAGGTGAATAAGTAAGCTCTAAAATAAATATTTTTAATGACCAAAGTTGAAAGTAAGCTAAACCCTTAAAAAGTAACTTATATATCCCAACATCTTTTGATAAGTGAAAAGTCAAACAAGATTATAATGGTTGGAAATAGTTACTTGACATATTGATAAATGCCACTGCATAGAAGATGGACTGTGCATGCGAAGAAGGCATTCCAGGGTCAGCTCTTAAGGTAGAAATCGGCCTTTCTTGGTTTAGTATAAATTTTAGTGCGACTGAGAGTGTAGTATTAAGCGCAACGCCCATGGCCGCCCACATTGTTTCAGCATCGTGCCTCCAGAGAATGAGAGCCATAAAAAGCGCCGACACAATCCACTTACTCTGAACTTAGGAAAATATCCCAGTGAAAATCTTAATGAAAGAGCAATTAAAAAAAAATTGGTTATTTTAAAATCATTTATGAACACATAGCATGAAAAGTTATCGAGATGTATGAAAAACCCTCCAAAGCAGCATATGCGTATGTACGAACCTGCATATTAACTAACACTTACCATGAGGGAACAACTTTAATAGGAAGAAAAAGCAAAAGAGAAATGTAAGTTAATGGAGATATGAGATTATCTGGAACCATAGTTTCACCATTTTAATTTTCTTAGAAGACTAAATGATTTATATTCGGCAGCACAAAGAAATGTGAAGGTCAATCTTAATTCGTAGAAAAGTTCAAGGAATATGCATGTATCAACAATGAACCAAAGTGATTAATTTATTGCAAGCATCCAATATCTCACAACATTAACATAAACTCTAAATAATGCATACATAAGAAATCTCTTTTAAGAATTAGCAGCAGATATGTTGCATCTCCATCCTAAGAATCACAGGAAAATGCTCCAGAGATATAGAAAACATGTACTGTTTTAAATATGCGTTGATAGCTCTTGGAGATGTGGGCAATACTTGTTCAAAAAGTGCTGGCATATGCTATTTTGTCCAATTCTTATGTTGGAAACTTCAATAAGTATAAACCATTAATCAATAATACCAAAATCTTGAGTGATTTAGTCAATGTCCAGAATAATTTACAAGAAAATCACTTTAATTTTTCTTAAGCTGGTGAAATTTAAGAATTTCCTTCCATTTCTTACTGTAACCTTTAACAATGAGATTAGATACTGTAAATTCAAATCCTTCCTTTAAAACTCAAAGAAATAAAATGTTTTATTCAGCTAATGAGGGGATCTAGTCTGTTTTAGAATGCAAAACACTACCTCTGCCTCTACTGTCAAGGACCAATACAAACAATTATTCTTCAAAAAAAAAAAAAGCAACATTTTTTCTCCAAAAGGGACATCACAGGCTCTCAGTGAAAATTTAATTAATGCATCAATTAAATATTCACACTTGTCAAATCAGAAAATGGAGCAGAATCTGTTAGCTATCTATCAAATATACTATTTGAAAGAAATAATTAAATTGGAATAGATGGTCGAGTGGTAAAAAATGTGGAATTACTACTAACTTATTAGTGGTGAAATTTATAATTCGTGGACTATATAAATCCCTTTTTTGCTTGAAAAAATTACACTGAAATCGCTTTTTAACTTCTGTAATTTGTGAAAAAATACAATTCTATATTACTATTTTTTTAAAGATATTGTTCAGGAGTATTATCAAAAGTTCTGGAAATCTCTTGTTATACAAGTGATTCAATCGTTGTATTTTGAGAGTAATTGTCTAAAGAGGTTTCATGGAGGGCAGGGCAAGTTTACTTTATGACATCGTGCTGTCACGAGTTTCGATCAACAAGTTTTCTTTTCTGCATTTTATTGTTCTACAGTGGTTCTTGTAACTATTTTGTCCTACAGGATCCTCAAGACCAATAAACTCGGATTGATATATCATTAATTATTTCCATACTTTCTTCTTTTTACCACACTATAAGAAGACAAAGGGTTAGTGAACCGGGAAAGGAAATGATTATCAATTAACTAAAATGATTATCAATTAATTAAATTAAGATCTAAATGATGTTAAGCTCTTAAATCAACAATTCTACATCAATCAAACTGAACACTGGAATGACTATTAAGTTTTTGTGCGTGTTAATTCCCTTCCATCAATTTCCAATAAATTTAAGTTTGAATTCAGAACAATTAAATTTAGTAAATCAAAGAATCATCATCCCATTCAAAGTTATTCAACAGTGTAAAATGTAAATTAAATATAGAAATTTTACTCACCAACTGATTGAGAGTAGCTCCAATTCCACCAGCTCCAAAATTTGCAGACCCTTGAACGAAATCTTCTCGTTCAAAACCTCCAACACCATCCCCACTAGTACTGGTAGGAGTTCTAATCCGATCAATCATCTTATTTTGACTCCGATCTCTATAATTACAAACCCAAAAACCAGATTTCTGGGATTTGAAGTCCAATTTCGTTGTGAAAATCCTAATGGGCTTGTGAAATTCTCTTGATTGGGACGTAATAACAGTAGCAGTAGGTCTGATGAAAGTAGCAGAGGCTAGTAACATTTTTCTCGGTATTGTTTATTTGTTAGTACTTCAGTAGCAGAAATCTGTGAGGATTGAGGACTCTGCATATCAGAAAACACAAGCTGTTAGGTGAAGGGGCAAGTTTTCACAAATGGCACAATAAAATCAGTTAACGTGTGGTAGTGATTAATAGTATAATTAAAGATAGTGAGAGTTGCCTGAGACGCTGAGAGAGACAAAAATGAGAACTTTGGTATTTGATTTCTTCAGGTTGTATGAAGTTGGTCAGTGTGACCCACAACCAGCCCAGTTTGCTAGATTGAATTATCCATCAAAGTAGTACTGAAAGCTAAAAAAATATTTATACTCTCAACAAGAAAAATGATATGTATAAGTTCGACGGGGGTGGGAGCTCCGACTCCCTCCTCCGTCCCTTTCCCCCTTCCGTCTTTTTCTTTTCTTTTTTCTATTTTGTGGTCTTTGTCTGTGTGTCTTGGTGTGGCGGTGATCGGGTGGTGTGATTTGGTTGGTGTAGGTTGGGCGGTGGTGTTTGGGTTGTGCTTGGGTGGTGGTGGTTTGGGTGGCGGCAGGGTCTGTCGCGGTGCTGGGGCTTTGATCGGTGGCAAGCTGGGCCTTTGGCTAGTTGCGGGCGGCGACCTTGGTATGGCTGGGGCTAGTATGGCCAGCCTCCGGTTGTGGAGGCTGATGTTGCTTGTACGAAGACCTGGGTCCTTGTGTCGTTTTGTTGTTTCTCGCGACGCCGGAGATTCCAGAGCGCCGCCGTCGGGGGCCTTCGCCGGAGGAGACTTTGTCTCAGGGTTTCAGGGTTTTGTTGATTTTGTGCCCTGTTTGGGTGTTGTTAGGTGGTGTTTATTGGGGACTGTTTGGTTGTTTTGTTTTGTGTTTGTTGGGGTCTGTTTGGTTTTTTTCTGTTGTATTGTGTTGTTTTGGTCTCTTGTTTTGTTTGCCTTCTCTCTTTGTAGAGGTGCTGAAGTTTAGACAATGCCCGCCACTTTGTGTGCGGGGGTGCTTTAGTGCGGATTGCGGTAGTTGACTTATCGTCGGGTTTCCTGTATTGATAAGTCACAGCTGTAACTTCGTTGTTTTCTGGATGGTATTTCAGACTGTGTGTCTCAAGCTAGTTGGCTTGATTCGTCTGTAATCGGTTTATCCATTTGTTTTATGTTATGAAAGTTTCTTATCAAAAAAAAAAAAAAATTTGAGATAAAACGGAAAAGAAGAGCAAGTCTATCTTTGTGAGATGAAGCTAATAACATATTAGAATCATCATAGTTTGCCACGAATCTGATCTGATTTTAGAGCCGTGCCATTCACTATAAGACGTATGTAAGCTTAGGGCAAGGTTTGGCCCCTGGGATGTGTCTGGCAAACCCAACAAGTCTAATAAATAAAGTGAAAATTACAACGATACATAATTTTTAACTTTTCAATTCAAAAATCAAATTTAAAAGTTTTTTGTTCAAAAATAAAACGATAATTCAATTTTTAATATTAATAATAATACAATTAAATTAAATTAATCTACATACCATTCCGCCCGATTGCACTCACAATCCTTAAATCTCCCCTCCCTTCTCTCTCTCTCTCTCTCTCACACACACCCCTCCCTTCTGTCTCTTTTAGCACACATGGTAGCCAATTTCACAATTTGGCGCTACAATTGGTCCATCACCATCAACTCCAACCATCGTCATCGAAACCAGCCACCATAGTAAGAGAGCACCGGAAGACGGCCAACCACCGCTGAGAGACCACTACAGCGGCGAGCGTCGCGCAATGGCAATGGTTTTGGGATGGTTTTGCTGTCGCTTGCTTTGCCAACAATCTTTGCCAGGAGTCGCAACTTTTGCTGTCGCCCTTGCGTCAGAAACAGTGACTCTGCTGTCGCCTGTTGCTTGAGCGCTAGACGAGCAATGAAGTTAGATAAATACTCAACCAGTTTCCTCTCTTTTATCTTCCAATTTAGATCGTACTTTCTCATTCATCCAGAATTGAATTTGTTATTCTGAATATATCATGGTGATTACTCGACAAATAGAACAAGTTAGTCTATTTATTTTCATTATTTGACATCGGATCAATTCCGAGTATTTTGCCGAAGCTGATACTAAAGTCACTTTTTCATGGTTTAATACTTAACAAATTCCAACAATTTCTATTTATTTATAATTTAAATTGTTTATAGACATTTGCCAAACATTCTTTTAGAAAAGTAGTTGTTGTGGCGCTAAAGATGTTGCCTTTGTTGCACATGCACATTTAAGTGGAGGACCACAGTTTTAAGATTGAACTCTTAAGACATTTGCCAAAAGGAGCTTGAACTCTAAGACATACAAATTCTTTGTCAAATTCTCCCCTCAGGTTATCCTCTGATTCTCTCTTTGGTGATGGTTAGATTGTTTGTTACGACTGTTCATCGTCAATTTGGGACGATGATTTCATGAGCAATTTGAATTTGTCCACTAATTTTGATAGCGATATTGATATGTGATAGCGGTAAAGGAAGGTGGTTGCAGCGAGAGGTTGAATACTATTTAATGAAAAAATATCAAATAATATGACATTTTTAAACAAGTAAATTTCAACCGGCATCTAGTAAGTGTAATTTAACACTTATCTTGATCCTAATATTGGGTAATTGATGTAAAACATATGGCTGAATGGAGTGAAGAAAATTTGATCGAAAAGGGAAAAAGGTAATAGTGCAGGTGTAGAGTTCAAGCTCCGATTTGCCCTATAATACTATTCTGGAATGAGTGTGAGACAAGTAGAACTCATAGCCTCGCAGTGACATCTGATGGATTTTAGCCATCTGAGTTCATTTAGGAGTCGAAAATTATTTTTAAAGTTTTAGTGCTATTTTTGTCATTTAGTAAATTATTAATTCTTTACAATTTTAGTTTGTTTAAATTAGGTTTTCATGTAAACTTATAAATAAATGTTAATTCATTATTTTTTATTATCTTACATTAATAAAATTTCATGAGTTTATTTCTTCATAATTGTTGGATTCTAAAAATTGTGTTTTTAAGGTTTTTGTTTGAATTCCTTATTTCGCGCTGCGTTAATAATGGTTAGTATTTTCGAACTGATAATTCATAGTTTTGTGTGTTATTTTATCTTTTAGGACGACCTTGAGCTTCTAGGCTAATAATGACCAAATAAATTCATGTGATCTTCTATTAAATCGAGGCAGAAGAAAGTATTAGCACCACTTATCTCAGCAATAATAAAATCCATTCACCTAGCAAGGAAATTCTAGCAATGTCCACTTATCATCAAGGAAATTCCAGCAATGACCACTCATCTCAGCAATAAGGAAATCCATTTACCTAAAAAAGAAAGTCCAGCTATGTCCATTCATCTCAGTAATAAGGAAAGTCCATCAATGACCACTCATCTCAACAATAAGGAAATTCATTCACCTCGCAAGGAAAGTCTAGCAATGTCCACTCATCTCAGCAAAAAGGAAAGTCCAACCGTGATGATAGCAAATGCAAACCAACATGGAAGGAAAGTCCAGCAATGGAAAACCGATTATATGGCATCCAACCCTTCTACAAACCTCTAGGAAAATGTACAAAAACATAATTAAGTCTAAGTGCATTAGACCCAAATAAACTGAAGATATAAAGGGCATGATATCCTGCAGATTTTGTACAGTTTCTGTGGCTTTGTTGTATTTAAATATGATATCATGTACAACTTTGTGTTTGCGTTTCTTTTCAATGAAATAAGAATTCAGTTCTCTTTTACAAATAATTCTTTATTTTTTCTATTTTTCTTCTTGGCATCAGAGCTGCTGTGAACACTCGACACCATTCATCTCTTTCCTTCAGCCATAATTTCACTATCTCTTAATGTTGGAAACTTCATTACACTCAAATTCACCCCCAAACAATTACCCCTTGTGGTGTGAACAAACCTTAGATCTTGCAGAAAGCTAAGAGTTGGTTCACTACAACAAAATGTACTTTTTACGGCATGCAATGCATGCCGTAAAAACATCTTTACGGCGTGCGGCCGGACGCCGTATAAAGTCATGCTGTAAAAAGTGGTAAACCTTTTACAGTGTGCAACGTACGCCGTAAATCACTTTTTACGGCGTGCAGCTGCACGCCGTAAAAGGGTGCACCACTTTTTACGGCATGCATTGTTGCACGCCGTAAAAGGTGCACCACTTTTTACGGCATTCATTGTTGCACGCCGTAACAAGTGGTGCACC